CTTCGGCTTCTGCTGCTTGACACAACCCTAAGGGGTGGAATGGGGCAGATGGGGCAGCACTGCATAGCCCACAGTGCTGGGGGGCGCTGGTGATATTGCTCACCTGTACAGTGTGCTGTAACAGGGGGCCCTGTGACTGAGCAGCTGAAGGTAAGGTGGGGCACTGTGCATCTGTGCAGTTCAGGGGCAGGAAGAGTACCCAAGTGGGAGGTATGATGAGGGGCGATGTCTGTGCTCTTGCAGTGTGTATATGAGGAAAGAAGCCCCTGTGCATGCGGCAGGGAGGGAGCAGCAATGCATGTGGGGCCCTGGCCACTTAAGTGTTAGACTACCCTGTAATAAACTGAAAATAAGTGAACAATGGAAATGAGTTGGGAAATAAGTTTTGGATAGTTAAATCTTTCCGTTCCTTGCATTAAGTTTTATCTTTCATACCATCCTGTCATTTTAGGTCACTAACTTCATTTTAAAGATTCTTGTGAGTAGGAAGTAAATAGCAACATCAGCATTCCTTTTTGTTATGATGTCCTTTATGGTTGTTTTTCATCTTTTTTCTAGATATTAGTGTGGTCTTTCTTTTTCGGGATTCTGAAATAACTCCATAGCAATGTGTAGGTAGAATACACTTCATATTATCAAATCATGCCCTGTTTTCATTCATAATTCCAACTCCAGATTGTACCCATTATTTTCTTTTTTTTTAATTGATGTCTTTGAAATCTTTCATTATAATTAACATATCTCTTCTTGTTATTAATGCACACTTTGAAGTGCCCATTCAGTAGTTGTGGCTGCCTCTGAGACATTAGAAGACACTGATCCCTTCAAATCAGATGACAGAACCAATCTGGATGAAAACACACTTAAAAGTGGAACAAACAGCTCTAAAATATCAGTACACCTTTTTGTACATTCTTTTCTGGCAAAATAACTTCAATACCAGTTAACCTAGTGAAATCACCTTGAATTTTCTCCAGAATAATTAAATAACAGTTCAGAAGAATAAAATATAGCCATGATATAATAGTACTAATGTTGCTTTTAGGGCCGTGCAAAATTTCGGCAGCCGTTTCATTTCGGAGGTGTTTTGGCCCGTTTTGGCACCTGAAACACCAAATCTGAATTGAAACTGAAGGCTCCGAAACATCTCTGAAATGAAATGAAACTATCTTAAACATTTCAGAAAATTTTGGAGCTTCGGAGCCGGGCTTGCAGGGAAACAGATACTAAGAAGAGGGAGGCAAGAGGGGTGGGAGGACTGCTCTGATATTGACATCTCAGTCTGTGATCTGTCACTGAGGTCCCTTCCAATCCCGGTGCTCTGGGGAAGGGAGAGCAGCCTGCTGTCATCATGCGCACAGATCTGGAGGCCCGCGCCCCCCGGGAGCAGTCTGGCACAGCCCCACAGTCCTCCCAGGGGGCATGGGGCCCCGGATCTGCATGCAGGATGACAGCATGCTGCCACTGCTGGCAAGTAATACAAGTTTTGCTTTGAACAGCTTGAGGTGTAGTTTCACAAAAACCCCTGCACCTATCCCCTTGAAACTTGACTGGCTTTGTGCCCTCAGAAGGGGCTACCATCTCTGCAGTTTTCACCCAAATCAGGCAAGAAATGACAACGTTAAATGCATTTTAGTGTTTCCCCATTATAGCCTATGGCTGAAACACCGAAACAGCATTGAAACTCTGGAACAGATTCGGCCGAATTGAAATGGGACAGTGATCTGAAACACCGAAACAAATCACTCTCCCTCCAAAACGCTGAAACCGAACCGAAACATAGCAGTTTCGCACAGCCCTAATTGCTTTCGTATTAGGACAGAAGAAGCCAGACTTAAAACGGAGCTTTTGCATTAGCTGATGATTTAGTCTGTCCTCTTTCCAGTACAGGCAGCATACAGAGTCCTTCATCCCAACCTAAAATTCAGCACAGACTGACTGCTTGAAAATGTTCTTAGCTTTTTTGGCCTGTTTTACAGCTAGTGCTGAGTTCCATACTGCCACAGTTACACTGCTAGCCGTATGTGGGTAACTACCTTAAAGATGCCATGGATAAATTAACATGAACAGTGACTGCAGGGTAAGAATACTATTAGATTGATAACAAATGGGGCATAATGGTCTTAAAACTTATCTCAAACTGCTAGTAATATTTTTAACAGAGCCAAAGTAACCTTTGCATCCTCAGCTGCTCTTAAAGATCAGATTCAGTTTAGTAAGATTGGATGAGAAGGGTCATTGGAGGAGGGAATGACTTGTGATTTGTGTAAATTTGAGATTTTTTTTTAACTCCTGCAGGGATTACAGAGAGAATTTACAAAAAATCCTTTTCTTTTGTTGTGTTCATATTTATCTTTGTACCGATGAGTGCCTTAAACTGGATGAGGCTTCTATCGCCATACTTGTGTTAGCACTGTCAAATAGATTTTCTCCTAACAGGTTTAATCAACATGGTGGGTAAAAATTGTTAGTAAAAATTACAATGGTTGCTATAGTCACTACAGAGTAGTCTTTTTTTGAGTGGGTAGGCACAGCTTTGAGTAGGAGATCATCTGTGAGATATTTGTATTGAAACGTGAAATAATTTGACTAAACAGTAAAGTTATTTAGGGAATGTGTTTACTATTATCCCTGTTTCAGTTTCTTAGTGCAAATTGGAGGGGAGTGAGAAGAGGTCACTTTTTTTTTCTCTCTGCAGTGAAAAAAAAAACCCTCATTGAAATGTCATAGTGGATGCCCAGATATAGAAGCATCATTTATTGATTCCTCCAACAACACTTCACATGTGCTGGCACAAGTTGTTGAAGGAAAGACATGAGACCTAAGTCAAGCACCACCTCATGTGGTGATCTTATTATGGCAAGCCTGCTTAATTGTGTCCTTATTTTGCCTTATGGTATTCTACCATCATTTAGTCCATTATCAATCCAAGTTGTTGTCACTGCTTTTTAATATCCTTCCTCTTTAAAGAAACCAGTTCTGTAAAAGAAAAGTTCTCTCTACCAGCAGGAAAAAAACATGCAGATACTTATGTGAAACTGGTATGCTGAGAAAAGGGAAATAATATTGGGCAGTTCTTGATGTGGATTATATTTGGCAAGGGCCTATTTTTCTTACAGCATCATCTAGTTAAAACTAAAAATGAACTCATCTTTGTCATGTTCTTAATTCATTATGCTACTTCTGGAAATTGTGTATATTCTCAAATTTATGTAGAATGGCCATTTGGATGAATGAGGCATGAATGACCAGTAACACTGGACATTGCAATAGGACTTTATTTTTCAGATTCATATTGTATATTATTAGGAGACAGTAGTTATCATTGGTCTTCAGAAATAACACACTATAAAAAAAATGAGTGTTTAAATTTTAACATTTTTGAATTGGTATGCAGAAAAATAGTTAAATTGGTTGGTATTTTGAAATTTTATATTTGATGCTAGAAGGACATATATTTTAAATGAAATCTTAAAGCCCTGGAAAATAGATTAGCATTTTCTATCATATTTTACCTTAAGTAGTTATTACAGATTCTGCATCTTGACTTGTATTGGTTCCAGGTGCTATTGGATGATCAGGAGGCACAGTAGAGAAAAGAAGGTTTTAAAAAACCAAAAAAAGGAGAAGGGAGAAAAGCTTATCTTGCTCTAGGGTTTTAATTTCAGTTCTTTAAATGCAGTTTGCTATCTTCAGAAATAACTAGTAAGTGTCTGAATTTAAGTAAGAAAGGGGAAAAAGCATTGCTTTGAGAGAGAATTCAACTTTAATTAGAAAGATTATCAAATCTGCCTAAATTAGTAGTTTGTACATTTTTAAGACCTTGTTGCCTTTCTGACATGCACAGGAATAGATAAATTACCCACAAATCAGTTGGGTCAAATAGCTCTCAGCAGGATTTACGTTATTAGTATTTATGGAGATTATAAAATCACTATTTAGAAAAGGTGTGTTCTCTGCATCCATATGTACTTTAAAAAAGCAAATGTATGATGCTGCAAAAACAACTTGCATTTCTATGTTGATTTTTTTTCACCTGCAGTTTTTAAAGTACCTTATAAAATTTAAGTGTCAAACTTTTCTCTTCTCTTTTGAAAATTATAGGGCTATGTTATGAGTTCTCCACAAGCTGTACCAAATAATACGCCTGGAATATTGTTTGGCTTGAGACAGAACTCAGGAACTCCACAGTATCAGAGTGGAACAGAAATAAATATAACAGGTGGGTATAAATATAGAAGTTAAAAACAAAAAAGTAAAAATGTAGAGTATCTTGTAACTCTCATGTAGCTGTTGGAGTTATCATCTTAAGGTTTTTGAAGATAGTGCAGTTTGTTGTCTTTTATGAATAAGATTATTATTGGTTTCTATTCAGGAAAGTACGACGAAGCATCACACTTCAAAGTTTTGCACTTGTAAACTCAGATGCATTATGTAGTGAACCTAACTGATATAGCTTTCTGATTGTCTACATGAAAAAATTACTTGCAGGCTCACTGGCAATAACTTTTTTGGCAGGGGAAGGCTTACTTGCAGCAAATACAGCACTCTCTGACTAACATCAATGAAAGCGCCTGTCAATCAGCCAGTAAGAGGCCATGGAGCAGTGCCAAAAGAACTTCCTGAATCTGCTCAGTGGATTCCTAAATGTCATTCTTTGTTTCCTGATTGTTATATATAGCAATTAGAGTGGACAGATCAAAGGGATCCATTTTGGGAAACTCAAGAGGGGAAAGAATACCTGTTGTTTTATAGTCACCAATTTTTTATTTTAATTATTTTTAGATGCATAATTGGCTGAATCAGAAACTGCTTATTGTGGCTAAATAGTATTTGTATTAGTAATTATTAATTATGGGATACTGTATTGAGTGTTAAATTTAACTTTAAATTTCAAGTGTCACTTGTGACGGCCAACATTTTTCTGGTCACTGCACAGGTGGAGTTTCATTATGGGTGAATGGATGGGATATACTTCAATTTGATTACCGCTAAACTGTATTTGGCAATTGTTTCTATTCCTTTCACAAGATAACAGAATAAAATCAGGTGTTGTGAAGCAAAATGAGTAAGACAGAATTAAAATAATCCATTGGTGGAGGTGGTGGTTTCATGCTTGTAATTAAGGCATTTTCTATTCTTTTTCTCATTCAGTCCCAAAAGGCTGTCTCTTTCCTATATTGTTACACACACTATTGACATAGTCTTCCTCACCTTACCCCACATTCTGTCTAGATAAAATAAGTAATTTGTTCTGTAATTTTGATAAGGGCTTGACCTTATAAAATGTTCAGTGAACTCTAAGCATCTGAATAATTCCATTAGAGTCAGTGAGACTATTTGCATATTTAGAAGTTAGACTTGTGTTTATGTGGTTTGTTGCATCAGCACCAACCAGGATTCTGAATTGAGGTGTTTTCATGCAGTTCATTACCTAGTTATTTGTATGTATGTCTTTATAAAGTCATATAGATTAAAACAGGAATTTTTAAATTGCTGTTTAATCATAGGGAACAAAATTACCTTTTGGCCTTTGAGAGACAGCTGGCTCACTCACAACACAATGTCAGTGTAGGCGCGTCCAGAATACAGCAAGAAAATCCTATTGGAGACAATCAAACACCAAGTAAATTAGGAATGAGCTGGTTCGATTAATTTTGAGACTAGTACATGCAGAAATAAAGACGCAAAAGCCAATATGAATAGGCAGTCAGTTTCATAGAATTGTTAATGCTACCTGTGACCAAAATCTTTAATAAAAGTGAGGGGGAGAGAGCAGGAAACTTTGAACATTTAGGCCTATCAGCTTGCCAAGGTTCTTTTAAAAAGCCTGACTCATGTTTTCAGGCTATCAGAAAGAGTTGAAATTAGTGAAGTGCCTTGTTTGAGGATTTAATTGTTTAGAAATATCATGTGCCTTCATATTAATTGATAAGAATTAACAACAATGACCTTTTCTAGAGTTAATACAAATTGTTTTTTTAAAAAGTACCCTGTCATAGGTAATTTACACTTAAGTGTGTGAAGTCCTAGAATAAATTTAAGCTAATTTTGTTTACCAAATATTCTATCCAGTGGGAAGCATGGGTATGTACTTTCCTTTTGTTGAAGAAAATAAGGAGACTTTCACATGGGGTTTTTATAAATGTAATGTTGCATGTATTTATAGAACTTAATACTAACATGTGTTTAAGTTGGAGTTGTTTATAGTAACATCATTGAGTAATGGTAATTAATATTAAACAGCAAAAATGAAACAGTCTTGTTACCAACATAAATATTTGTTTGTATTTGTAAAAATCAAGGAATATATGGCCCTTTCTGCATTGTTTTGCCTTTTACCTTACTCTAGGTTGGAGATTTTTTTTGTTTGCTTGTTTTAAGATTGTCATGTTGAGTCTCCCTTCATACTGGTGTAAATTGGACAGAACTCATTTTAGCCACTGGTTGTAAGGAAGAATTCAGCTGTATTTGTGAGAGGTTTGTTAAAGTGGTTATGATCAGGTGACTATTGGCAGTTCAGATTTCACAAGTGTCTTTCCTAATCTTCCACTACATTATTTCCCAATTCAGGAAGGCATCCTTGTTGAGGAAAAAACTTTAAGCACAGCTTAATTGGAATTTACTTGTGCTAAACTGCTTCCTAAAATCAGGGGCTTAGGCTCAACCCTGCTACCTGTTAGGTGTGTCTTTAGCCCTGTTACCTTGAGAAGTCTTATTGAAATCAAAGTTAAGCATATCTGTAAGAGTTTGAAAGATATAGGACTATATCAATTAATAATTGTCCTGTTAACTGGCATGCTGCTGAGATAAGCCAGTTGATTTTTTTCACTAGCTATTGTATAGTATTTGAATTATTTAGATTAAATACTTTTCATGGTGTAGCTGCAAATGCTTTTCAGTATACATTTGACTTTTGTTATTTACTGATATAAACAGATTTGGATATTTTAAGTTAATAACCATATCGACTCAAATCCAAGGCAAGGGCTTTTCCCCATGCAGCATGGGGAGGGAGGGAAGCCTCATCTTGGGTTGAAGTATGGAATGGAGGCAGATGGCTGCTGCAGCCCTGGATATAGCTCTAGAACTAGAGTTGCCACCTGCTCTAGGGTGAGGTGGTTCAAAGTGGCTTATGAGGTGGGGCAGACTGTGCAGGGAGGCTGCACAGTGTGGGGGAGAAGCGCAGGGGAGACTGCAGGGGGAGGGGAGAGGAGTGTGGGGGAGACTATGGGGTCGGGGGAGTGGTAAGGAAGACCAGAGCTGCTTCTATTAATTGCATTGGTTTAGAGCTAGAGTCAGAGCCACCACATAGGGGCAACAGCATTGGGGGTGGGGACATGTGGCAGGGGAAAAGTCATTGAGGAGGGGGCAGGCAGTGAGCATGGGGCGGGGGTCTAGCTTCCTGCTCACTCTCCTGCCCCCCACTTCTTTCCATGCTGCAGTGTGGGATGGGAGGAGGAATTTAAGACGACTCCAATAATTAGATTCTTTACATGGAAATTAATAAAAATATATTATTTTCAATGTGTAGAATCTAATTCAGGGAGTTTGTATGAAAGTTGAAGTCGCCTTGGATGTGGGTAATAGTATTAAACAAAAACCCCCCACCTTAATATAAAATACTTGAATTTTATAATGCAGAACCACAGACAACAATCCAACTTCAGTGCCTGTGCTCTCCTGTTCCCTATGGGTTAACATTATTGGAATTGCTTGCAAATTTTGCCTTTGAATATAGCAAAATATTTTCGTAATGTGTGGGGGGAGGGTTCCAGAACACATCAGAAGATTTGTTTTTAAAAATTCTTATTGGTGGGAATTATTACAAACTATATAAATGCTTAAAAGTAATTTTCTGATGCACATGACTCTTGTAGAAAGTTCCACTCAGGCAGTTCAGCCTGCCACACCAGTTACACAAATGCATCTGTTAGTTACACCTACAGGAATAGTGCCCATTGTGGTTCCACAGGCCTGCTATACAAATACCTTCCATGGTACTGAAAAAGAATAAATTTGTACCAGCTGCACAAAAGCCATTGCTAGCCAATACACAAAAGTGGTTAGCAGTGAAGGTATAAGTAAACAGAAGCACTAAAACCTAACACTAACCAATGAATAGCCTAGATCAGTGGTTAAAGAGCATGTTCTCATATAATAGTTGTGCCCAAACTTTCTGGGTAGTGGTCTGGATGAGTGATTCAGGGTTGGTCTATGGACTGGATCCAGGGCCTGTGATTAACCTGTGGGCCCAATTCCTGTGGGGAGTCAGGGCAGTCTGGTGCATGGCCCTTGCTCTGTGCACACTGTATTTGGACCTATGGCCCCAGGCCTGTACACCAGACTGATCCAGTGCACAGAGCCATGACATCTGGCTCCAGCGTTTGGAAATTGGGCAGCAGGGGAATGATGGCAGTATTAATTTCTGGACCTGTGGGTAGCCCTACAATTCAGATGACACGGCTCCACAGGCTGGAGGTTGAATACCATTAATTTATAACATTCAGGAAAAAAACAGCATTTGAATCATTGGAAGGTATGACTGCAAAACAGGGCATTTAATGATGGTTAAATGAAAGTCTAATAACAACAAAGCTGAAAATTAACTAAAAAATCTTTTTCTTTGTGGTTGATTCTCCCAAGGATTAAAATATTTTCAGTAGCATTCCTATAATATTTGTGAAACCTTTATAGTTAGTGCAGTACATCTTCCATTTTTTAACATGATATGGAATGCAAGTTATCTATGCTCATATTGCAAATTACAGCGTGTATGTAGATGTTACTATGTAAAAGTGAAATTTAATTTCCCTTTTTTCTTAGGAAAGTGAACTCTGTAACAGTTTTGCTTAAGAATAGCTATCCCTTATTTGTTTGCAAGTATTGCTTGCCAGATTCTAAACTCTACCCAAGAAGTATGATCTAAGTGAAGTTTGAGAATGTGGAAAGGCCTATTTTTTGTTCTCCTGTTAAGCTTCCTTATCTGGTAGTGGCATCTCTCAGGCCAGTCCACATTACAGTTTATAGCAGGTGAACGTCTAATTCTGCTAATTAACAGTGATTCCAAGGAGCTGTTTTGCACCCAGGAACTGCTTGGCATGTAGGGATTCTCCATCATGCCCACTTTTTTTTCCTGGATTATTTGTGTTACTGGGATGGCTACAAGATAATTCTCCACTTCGGGCTAGGGATAGACATTCAAAAAGCCTGAGCCTGAATTGATTCAATCTTCGCAGGTTAGTCTAACCTTGCTAGGCTGAAACAATTTGTAACTGGATAGATACTCTCTCTGGACTGAGGAAATTCAGGCTCATGCCTGCGGTGGCTCAGGCTAGAAGCCAGGGGGTGCTAGAGCAACCCTCTCTTCCCTGCCACAGGGAGCTGAGCAGAGTGGGGGCATGGCCATGCCCCAGCAGGATGCTTTGATTAGAGAGGTCTGCCTGCACCATCCAAGGCTTTTCTCTTCTGGCTGCTCAAGGGGCCAGAGTGTTGCCAGACCTCAGTCCCCTGCTAGCACTCTGAGGCAAGGGGAAGTGTGCAGTGCATGTATCCGTTGATACCGAGCTTTTGTATCTCCCTCCCTGTTTCTTTATACTGTCTGCAGCAAACTGACAGGCAAGCAAGCAAGCCAGCAGGGTGCTGATAACAGTGTTTATCATCTCATCAGCAAAACAATAGCCTCTCTCCATTAATTCAAACTATTCTTAAACAGGTTACTGGCTGGCCTGTTGATTAGCTCCAAAGAGCCCTAAGCAGTCACTGTTCTGTTTCCCTGTCCCAGTGAAATTGGACACCCACACACACACCCCCACACCCCGCCCCCCAGCATTAGCTAGCATACCACATGCCTAGGGTCTGTAGGCCTTGGATTTGTGCTATGGTAGGGAGTGGGGGATCCCTGCTTATCCAGCAAGCAGCGAGGGGGGTGGGGGAGGGGGAGGGGTAGGGCAGGGGGAAGCCAGGCAGACCCTGCTGTCTCTGCCGGAGCTGCAGCCAGGGAGCAGAGGGGAGGGGTCAGCCCTGCTGTGGAGCAGAGAGCCCTGCCCAGCTCAGAGAGCATGCTGGGATGCTGGGGGAGTCTGTTTTATCTTAAACCAGCAAGGGTTTTGGGACAAACATGGCATAAACCGGTTTGAGCCAAATCAGTTAAGTCTGATACTACATTCAACCAGGTTTATTTTAAACTGGTTTCAGCCATTTTCAAACTGGTTTATCTGTACTGAACATGTTTTGTTATTCAGTGTCTCATATAGTCTTTTTAGTGCAACATACTACTGGGAGAAAGATGCACAGATTTTTGTTGTGGCCCCAAAAATCAGGTCATTGATCTGACGTGTATTTGGTGTTTCCATATTGTAGTAGCAAATTGCTGCATGCGGCAGGTCTCACTAAACTTTTGGAAACTAATTCAGTTTATTTAAAAGGGTAAATAAGAATTTATTTGCAGAGGCAGCACCATTTCATGGATTACTAGAATTTATATATAATGTAACTTCTTTTTTATAAAATTCCTTGCATACTAACTGAGACCTCTGTTTTACAGTTATATAATTAAACCAGAAGTGAATACAAAATAGGGAGGAGAGGCAGTGGAAGTAAAGACAGTGTGAAAGATTTATCATTTGAGGAGAATTTGAAAGGTAGATCTAAATGGCAGGGGTAAGACTGGTATTTTCACATAATTAGACTGTGAGAAAGCATGAAAATGTAAGCCAGTGAAGAGGAAACAGAAAGACAAGCGTCTTCAAAGGCAGCTTGGTATAAGTTTGTGAAGAGTTACAAATAATGGGCCTTCATTTTCCTTTTCTTACTTCTTTACACAGCATTCACTTCAGAATATTGTTGGTCAGACATAATTTTCTTACGTTCTAAATGGCTTATTGTATAAACCAAGTTTTTATAGTTATTTAGGCTTATCCATCCATTAAAGAGTAGGTATTGGTAAGATGTTGGTAATATGCTGTGAAAAAACAAACAAACAAACTGAGGTTCTTTAATTTAAACCACTGTAGGTCTGAATGAGAGTGTTTTTGTATCTAAGCGTCCTGCTGCTTCCGAAGGCAACAATGTTACTCCAAAAAAGGCCAAGCCTAATGAGGTTGGTGCTGGAAGCAATTCAGCTGTATCACCTTCAGTTAAATCTCCAACAGTAACACCATCTCAAAATGTATCTTCAAAAGGTAGGGTAGATCAAATGGTCTAGCTGTTAATCCATGTATTTGTTCCATGGAAAAAGCTAGTACTAATGCAATGTTAAAGCTAAACAGTCAACACTCAGAAATTAAGGTTGTGTAGCTCAGTAACACTGCCTGACCTTTGTGCTTATTCCTTAAAAAAATATCTTTTCATGTTAAAAATTATTTTCTAATATTTATATATAATGCAAATGGAGATCTTACAAATTTATATAAATTATGGTATGTGTAGTCTTCAGATTTAGCTTGTTTTAGCTCTCTCTATAAAAACAAGCCAAGAGAAAAGTAGTTGTGAGAATGTGACTATTTAATGTTGAATACCCCTTAATTCATAACATTAACATAGAATGTTTATAGAAAGGAGCTGAATGATAAGATTTCAGGAATTCCTTAGCTGCAGAACTTGACATTTGGACAGGATATTAAAAAAAAAACCCTACTTTTTACCTTTTCCTCTTTTTTATAATAGTTGTGTTGGTTTATTTTTTAAAAAGCCTACTTTTCCCCAAAGAGGAAAATTAGTCTAGCTGTTTTAAATAGAATTATAGAATAGGTGCATAACTAGATGTTTCCCAAGCAACTGGATTTCATTTGGGTTACAGATGCCTGAACTTGATGTGCCATTTTTCCACCTCAGTCTCCTGGCCAAAGAAAGTAAAAATGGATGCTGAACTTTTCAAGAGCTGTTTTCATACTACCTGTAGTTTTTTGAGCAGTTGTGTGTGATTACAAGATCCCCTTATTTGCAACTCTTGTCCACAGCCAACTAGAAAGAGGTGGTTCCAGTAATTCTGAATGTTGCAGCAAGAAAATTTCTTCCAGGCCACATTGGATCCTGGGCAAACAAAATTAAGTTGCAGCCTAAAATGTACAGAAAGATTTTTCAGATTATTTTTATTAAAACAAGTAGGTAAAGAATAATCATGCTGTTCAGTTAAAATCTGGTTTTATGAAAGTTTCTTGAAGTAATTCAGTATGAATGTAGAAAATTCACAATCTAGCACTGTGGCACCACAGAACAATAGGTCTTGCTACAGACTTAATTTCCTTACTTGGCTTGTCCCTAACTGATTTGTTAAAATGCTTCATAAAAACAAACAGAAAAAATTTGCAGCCTTGTTAAGGTATGTTCTTTTGCAATGATCATCCACTGAAATGAAGGACTTTCTGCCTTTTATGAATCTTAAAAGTACTGCTGTCCTCAAGGGAAAATCCATTAAATCCATGTCACTTCATGGACCGAGTGGGGGGGGAAAAAGATCTGATAGTCCACTCGGCTGTCAAGTGGTTACTAATGTATGCTTACTCATTCACTTGTTATATGGTGGATGTATTTATACTTACTGTTTTTTATTTTTGTTTATAGTCTGGCAGGCTACAATTTAATGCCAAATAATACATATGTAAAACTTCTCCCTTACTTATTTCCTAATGTCTAAATTGATAACCCAGCATGGAGTCCTCCATGCACTGCTTATGCACAAGAGAGATTTTTTTTTTGTCCGTTAAGTTCCTGGTTCTGATTTTTGGTGGCTCCAAGAGAACTGGGATCCCTGTTGTAAGTAGTATTCAAAAAAGATAAGCTATCATAAAGCTTAAATAAAGTTTGTTTGCTATCTGTTAACTAATACATCAGTAAGAGAAATGCTACTCGCTCATTACTGAGAAGCTAGGTATATGAGACACTGCCTTACTCTTTAGAAGGCTCATAGACACCTTTGCTCAGTGGAAATGATGCAACTGAACAGGCCTATGTTCCAATGACTGGCAAGAGAGAAAGATATTCTCCTAGTTGAGAACCAGACAGTAAAAGTCCTTTCTGAAATTATCAGGTGGAATGGTGTTCAGATCCTGATACACAACAGTGGTTGACAACCTTTTAGGCTGAGGGCCATTTTGAGTTAGACATGTGGGCAGGTGCTAGAACCCAGCTGCCACTGCTGCTTGGCTCTGTAGTAGCATGGGGAACCTGGCTGCCACTGAAGCCACACTTCTATGGGCTGTAGGGTGCCAAGTGCTGTGATATATAACAACTTTTTGTGTATGTTCTTCTGAGAAGTGATGCTTTCAGAATTAAAAGAAAATTCCTAAATGCTGTTGTATGAGGTACAGGAAGAAGATAAAGACTTTTCTTAGGGCTTTAATAAACAGATCATTGATCACACACTCTTAGGTAGGATTTTGGACTTATCCTAAGATTTTGTGCAAGTTGTTTACCTATGGGCTTTGACCAAACAGATTCAACCCAAACGGGATTTGAAAAAGGAAGTGTAATTATAATGGAAGTTGGAATTTGGTCCTTATTGATTGCGACCCCTGCCACATTGGCTGTAATACAGTTTATTTTAAACTACATGTTTTGTGGGATGATGTAGATAATTTCATTATAATCAATTTTGTGATGGCGAATATGGATTTATAAAATATTCTTTGCATTTTACAGATACTAACACTACATCAAGCAGTGTTAAAAATGGTGCACCATTTCCACGAGCTTGTCCACAGTGCAATATTCATTTTAATCTTATGGATCCTTTAAAAAACCACATGAAGGTAAGAGATTTTTGAGTTGTTGAAAAGTAATCACAAAATTTTGTGAAACTAAATAAAGTTATGAAAGGGGGCATCATATTTTATTTAAGAAGTTGATAGATTATCTTTTGAATATTTTAACCAAGGGCCCAGACCTCTGAGTTGCAAAATGTCTTTCAATCCCAAGGAAGAGGGGAAAATAGAAAAAGGAGCAAATTAAAGAGAAATTTTCACTTTTTCCCTGTTGTTTCTGATGTTTTTCAAAAGTGCATGCTTCATCTTGTATTAAAATCTTGTAGTTACATGTATCCCATTTCTATGACAGCCTTATATCTCTTGTTATGGCATTAGATAATCCTCAACTCTCATATAGAAATAATATGGACTATTCTAGAACTGAGCCCTGTATGTCTACAGTCCAGGATATGGTGTCTTCAGGGGCTTGAAACAGTTTAAACAAATAGATGCAGCTTGCAAAATGGAGCAATTTGTTCTGTTCCTCTTCTTCCCCAACCAAAAATCTAAAGCATAATCAAGAATGATATATTTAATATATAGATAATCAAGCTCAGCTGTTTGATTTTGATCTATGCCTCAACTTTGGTTCTACAGAAGTTATATTTATTTGGTGGTTTCAGTGCTGAAATTCATTATAAAAAAGAGGATTTGTGTGGTTATAACCAATCAGGTTTTTTTTTTTAAGAATGAATACACATCTTTAGTAACCCTAGCTAGGATAAATATATTGAGTCTGCCATTTTTTTCCTTGAACAGAAAATAAGACTATTGCCAGCCAAGGTCAGAGAAATTAGTACTGTACAGGTAGGCACTGTATCTAACAGAAAGGAACACCTTTCCTCTGTAACATTCTGGTTTTGTTCACTGTTGAAGACTTGTATAGTACCTTTTCTCCAAAGAACTTGGTACTTTCTAAATATTAAGTTTTACAATACAGCTGATTGATATGTAAACATTGTCTCCATTTTTAGATAGGGAAACTGAAGCTGTGGCTGTTTAGTGACTTCCCATTCCTGTATTCAACAGCAGAATTTGGAAGAAACTTCTGGTGTTGGTACTGTTGATCCTTTCTGATCAGTTCAACCAATTCCCTTGCCAGAATGTCTGTCTTTTTTAATATAAAATAAACCAAAAAAAATATGAAATATAAAATAAACCAAAAATAAAAAATGCTTACAACTTTTTCCATAGTTCACAGTAAATTCATGTTTATAACTAACTATGTTGTTTGCAAGGCAGATGTTTTATTTAATTTAAATTATGACTTTGGGAAGGCAAGTAGCTCCTTACTGAAAAAAATGGAGATTGAGAAAGTGAAGTTGTGTTTATTTCAAAAGGTTTTAGCCATTGTGTAAAACAAGATATTAATTCTGCCTTGTGATCTGTGCTTGTCTTAAGAGAAAAAAAATGCCAGTATTTAAATTGTCAAGCCTTTTATAATCTAAATCTCACCTTTATGTACTTATAAACTTTCAATGCAAAAGTGGGATTATAGGCAAGTAAGGCTGGAAAGGAACCTCAGGAGGTCATCTAGTTTAGCCCTCTGCTCAGGGCAGGTTCTTCTATGACTAAATCATCCTAGTCAGGTGTCTCTCTAACCTGCTCTTGAAAATTTCCAGGAACGGAGATTCCACAACTTCTCTAGGTAACCTTTCCAGTCTTTAACTACCTTCATACCATTTAGATTATATATCTGTTCAAGAGCAAAGGCATAACGTATTCCAAATTTAAATGAAATGGAAATACAGATGTCATCTTTATTGTTTTGTTTTTTATTTTGATAATTCTTAAAACACTAGCGGTGTAGTACAATTCAGTAATTCAGACTTGTCTCTCTTTCAGTATTGCTGTCCAGATATGATAAATAATTTCTTTCCGGGAATTACCAAAACGGAATGTTCACCAAGTAAGACTCCTGAATCTGAGAAAGGAAAATTGATTATGTTAGTTAATGACTTTTATTATGGAAAACATGAAGGTGATGTCCAGCAGGTACAACAGGAACAGAAGACTCATACAACTTTTAAGTGCTTCAGCTGTTTGAAAGTTCTTAAAAATAACATAAGGTATATCTGTCTACTCATTCACTTCTGTAATTTAGTCACCAAAAATAAGTTTAAATTGTGGTGTCAGAATTGTTCCTGCTGTGGAGAACTAATATAAAATTACTACAGTCTTAAGTAAAATCAGATGTTTTTCTACTTCATATGAATGTTGTAAGTTAAATTTTGTACAGATTAAAATGGTTAAAAAGGTAAACTATGTAGTAAATTGTAATTAGATTAGTTATGGTGCTGTGGGAATGAAAAGAGCAGGACATCACTACCTCCTTACAGTGTGCCATCCAAATTGATGACATGATCAGTAGATTTCACTATAAATCCCTTTAGGGATCCTCAGTGAGTAATAGTTGGTGGTTTACCCTATGTAACAACTGTTCTTTTGATTGAATAACTTTACTTTCAAATACAGCAAAAAACATTGGTAAGCTGTTTTAATAGGTAGGCCAGTTTGTATCACAGTTGCTTTGGCAGTTAAGGTCATAGTTCTTTCTCATAAGGAAGCTGAAGTAGCAGAATGTAAAGCTGAAAGATGGACTATGCCTTCAAAGGGCACAGTCTGCTAGTTAAAATGAACAGAATTTTGCTAACATTAAACCCATATCATTAAATAAAACAAAAGGTTCTTGTAATTGCAGGCATTAAAATCACTATTACATGCACTTAAAAACTAAGTCACAAGTAAAAGTACTAGTAATTTGTCTTTTAAGCAGCTGGAAAATATTGTATGCTGTCAGGCCTTCAAAGGATTTACTCTCATGGTTTTATAGTTGCTGTTGGCTGTGGCATTTCCTTCCTTTCAATTTATCTTAAAAACTGTAAACAGTATTTGATGTGGATTGAAAAAAGTTTTCTTTTTGTATGCGTAATAGCTTTTACTATACAATAAGAGCTTCTCTTTTTTTTTATATCTTCTTGAGAATACTCCATAGGAAATGGTCCTAAAACGTAAGAATATTTTTATGTAAAAGATTATTAAACAAAATTCTTGATTTTACTAATGAACTTAATTGATGATAACATATTTTATATTTTTTAGTGAACAGATTGTGTTTTCAAAACATGCATATCTTGGAGTTTTACTTCTAGCCAAAATTGACTGGCACGCTTTAAACTAACAAAAATTTTTTTGACTTTGTTTGCCCCAGCCAGTATAATAGCTTAACATGAAGTCTTACTCTTGTATATCGTGGAGGGTATGGGTGGGTGGGCATAGGTTTGTGGGGTGCTGTGGGTACATGGGGGGTGTGTGTGGGGCAGTTGGATAGGTGTGGTGGTGTGGGTGGTGATGGGATTTGTGGGGGGGACTGTGTGTGTGGCTGGGGAGGGTTGTGGCTTGTGTGGAGCGGGAGGGTGGCTGAGGTATATGTGGGTGTGGGGTGTGCAGGTATGGCAGTGTGGGGGAGATTTGCACTTCAGACACACACATGCACTCTTGCACTTGCTTGCTCGCTCTATTGTGTCCGCTTTCTCGCTCGCTCTCTCCTCCCTCCGTCATTGCTTGGAGCCCCTGCCAGTGCTCCTGCCAGCCTGGGCTCTGTGCTCCTGGCCCCGAGGTACTGGCGCAGGCCCCGTACTCCCACCCACCTGCCGCTGTTTCCTCCTCCCGTTTCCCACTGTTGCCCTTCTCCTGCTGCTTCCCAATCTTCCTGCCCGCTGCTGCCACTTCCCTGTTTCCCCCTCACTTGCTGCTCCAGCACCACGTTGTTCCCAGCTGCACGGCTGAGACCACAGAATACAGCAGGAGCTAGCGTAGCACAGCCAGCACTGCACAGAACCAGCCAAGAATCACGGGGGCCAGGGTGGGCCGGGTCAGCTCCTGCTGTGTCCTGTGGTCCCAGCAATGCGTCTGAGAAACATGCAGTGCCAGAGTGGCTGGTGGGGGGTGGAGGTGGGGAGAAGCGGCGGTGGCGGGTGGGGAAATGGTGGGCAGTGGTGGCAGGTGGGTGGGTGGGAGCACAGAGACAGCTGGGTGGGAGCACGGAGCCCATGCTGGTCCCCTGGGGCCAGGACTGGCGGGGGCCCAGGCTGGCAGGGGTTCTGTGGACCTGGACCAGCTCCCCCCTCTCCCTGCTGAAACAGCCCAGCCTGACTCCGTGCTGGGCTCTGCCAGCCCGGGCCCCACACTCCTGCTGCCCTGCCCTGGCACTGGGGCATTGGTGCAGGCCCCATGCTCCTGCCTAGCTGTCGCTGCACTCATGCCTGTCCACCCACTCACTGCTGCTGCCACTGCCATTTCCCCACTTTCCTGCCTGCTGATGCTGCTTCTCCCCACCCTCTGCCCACCCGCCGGCCACTCCAGCACCACGTGGTTCCCAGCTGCATCACCAGGACTGTAGAACAGTGGGAGCTGGCATGGCCTGGCCCCAAGGACTGGAACAGTCTCTGGCATCCTCCCCTCCCCACTGCATTCTTAGCTGAGTTACACTTCTGGATGGGTGGAGGGAGAAACAGCCCTGGGGAAGCAAGGTTGGAAGCCTCTGCTTAGGCAGAGGCTTCCAGTTGGTTGGGGAGGGCTGGGGGTGGGGCAGGGCTGGGTGGGTCTTACTGCTGCAGTTGCTGGGTCCTGCCACCAGCTCCCCCTGGGTCCTGCTGCCACTGGTGCCTTGTCATCTTTGACAGACAGCCAGAGGCAGATGATAATTAATTTTTTAGGGGCCTTGCAGGCCAGATAGAATGGCCTGGTGGGCTGGATCTGGCTCGGGGGACATATTTTGCCCACCCCTGCCTTAGATGCTGAGCCATCATCAAGGTTTCTTTTTTTTTTTTTTCCACTGTCCAGGATGTTCTTATACAATCTGTTGGATGGGTTCCTTTTAATTTTTCTGGAATTGTTTTCCACTGTGGATTACCACTGGTGCCATGGGAATGTCTCTTCCAAAGCAAGCTAGTAGAAAAAAATGCACTTAATTTTTGTCTGTTTATCTAGCTTAAACTTCCAGCCATTGAATCTTGTTATGTGTCTGTTTGCTAATTAAATAACCCTCTACTTTTTCAGGAATCTTTTCATGATATAGGTCTTTCTGGACTGCAAGTTGTCTTTCAGCCTTTGCTAGTATAAAGTAAAAAGGCTGAGCTGCTTTAACTTTTAACTGAAACCAAATCTTCTTGTATACCTTTTTTGTGCCTTTTTCTGAATCCTTTCCATTTTATCCACATGTGCTAGATACAGTATTCCAGTAATGGTCTTCTGAACTTAATATACAGTAATAATACTAACTCCTCAAGAACTGACTTATCCTTGTCATTATCTACCAATCTGTAACCTTTACTAGCTATGACTAGCGTGACTACACAGCCTGACTTGCTAGAGTGGGTCTCCTACCGTCAGGACCTGTGGATACCTTTGAGAGAGAATGATTGAGGTGTAGGTGTAATCAATAATACACACCCCTGTTGCCATTTCTGCCACCTCCTCCTCCTCCCCTGTACTTCAGAGGTTTAGAAGTGGAGGAGAACTGGGAGTGATGATTATATTAGGTGATGTTACCATTTTGATTGATGGATTGTGGGTTTTGATTAAGCACTTTTTCTCTCCTCTCGGCTCACATTAAAACTCCAAGAATGTTCCATGGCTTCATAGTGAAATTCATGACTCCTACGTTGTGCTCATGTGGACCAGTGTATTTATGCATTAGTAATTACTTTGTCCACATTTAAGTTTCTCTTAAAAACCCACTTCTGCCATGTTGCTCATAAGGAAAGGAATTGACTTGTCTATGAACTTCCTTTTTGGGGGGGTTCCCCTTTCTCTTAGATTCTAAAACTTAAGTTATAGGATATGTGTAGCAAGGGTTCTTTTCTTGAAAGTATGGAAAGCATCAAGCATATCTTAGAATTATCATCAAGGGAAATACCAAGTGACTTGGCATCTGATCTGTAAGAAGGCTGTCTATATTGATGTTTAGGCTAGCTCCTTCAGACCTTTTTATTAGGATGTTCACTGTACACACATCATTGGCAATCTCATCACACCACTAAAGCTTTTGGAGTAGTGACATTCTTTCTTTTAAAAGCTTCAAAAATTATCATCTGTCCTAAAGATATGTTGTACCAAGAAAGCTTCTAGAATTACCAGAGTTCATGGAGAAGATTTCTGGATTCAGCTACCAATACCCTCACTGCTGATCCAATTTTGACACTAGATAGCTTCAGGCTTCTTGTGAAGCTGCAGTTCTACATAGGGGTGTGCGAAATGGGCCGTATTTGATTCAGATTCTGATTTGGCCCGAATCAGGGACAGTGATTCGATTCGTTGATTCAGATCACTGTCCTGATTCGATTAGGCCAAATGCGAATCTGAAGATTCAATGCTGATTCGGAGAATCAGCGATTCGGCCATAGACACAGCTTTAAATGTTTTTTCTACATACCTTGAGGTACCAGGTGCAGTTTATGAACGCTGTGATGGTGGGGCGGATGGAGCAACCCATAGGAGCATGGGGGGAGGGGCCCCCGTGTGCTTGGTGGCAAACCTGGAAGTACTTCCAGTCCACTTCTGGGCCTGCCACTGAGTGCCTGGGGACTCCCCCACACCTCTCTGGCTCGGTGATTGGCTGCGGGGGGACCCCAGGTGCCCTGCCAGACCCAGGAGGCACCAGTTGCCGAGCTGGAGGGGTGCGGGATGGCCCTCCAGGGCACTCCTCAGCAGACCTGGAAGTGGATTGGAAGTGCTTTTGGTCCACTTCTAGGTCTGCTGCAGAGCACGCTGGGGACCCCCCGGCACTCATGTGGGACATTCCATCCGCCCCAGCGTCGCAGCATTCGTGAGCTGCCTGGTACCTAGAGGTACGTAGGAAAAACATTTAAAGCTGTGTCTGTGTTCAGAATCTTTCCGAATTGACTCAGAGGGTTCTGATTCGATTCAGAGAGATTAAAGGGTCTCCTGATTCGATTTGGATTCGGAGTTTCAGCTGCCGAATTCCACCGAATCAGATCAGTGACCGAAGCTTTGCATAGCTTTAGTTCTACAGAACTCTTGTAGGGCAGTAAGTTTTGAGGAAGAGGGGCAGGTTGACTTGTTTATTATTTTTTCTTCCTGCTGCTCCATATTAAATGGCAATTATATCAGTGGCAAGGCTATAAAAAATCTTTAAATAACAAATACTGTAGCTTGCCTAATATGTAGGATGGTTTACTTAATATTCAGGAAATCTCATTCAGTTCATCTTCAGTTTATGAAAATTGTGACACTTCAAATGAATTGTAACGAGTACTCGTATTTCTTATAATTTTGGAAAGCTCAAGAGTGCTTTTACAACATTTTGAAGGCTTCACTTTACATGTTGCATGCCGACTTCATCACATATGGCTTTTGTTTAAACATAACTTATGCACCTGTTCCCTATCATTTATAGGTTTATGAACCACATGAAACATCACTTAGAGCTTGAGAAGCAGAGCAGTGAAAGTTGGGAAAGCCACACCACCTGTCAACACTGTTATCGTCAGTTTCCCACACCCTTCCAGCTGCAGTGCCACATTGAAAGTACACACACCCCTTACGAATCTTCTAGTAAGTTAGGCTGCTTTTATATTTAATCACAGTGTTTGTACAGTTTAGATTTTTTTTTCTTTTTAGCAGTTTGCAGTCTGGGAGTAAAAGCTGACATGATAAACCATTGTTGCATGAAAAAAAAATTGCAATTTGAGAGAGGTTGATCATCAGTTAGTTTATCAACTTTTGTCCCAGTCCAATGTGACTGGGAATTCCTGTTGCCAGATTTCTTGTAGTTTGAAATCTGGATGGGTTTTGCCAGGAACTCCTCATTGCAGTACTCTTAGTTTTGAGAGCAGAATGAATCTGCAGTTTAAGACAGAGGTGGCCTAGGTAAGACAAGTGGCATGGGCAGCCATTGTGCATGGCTCATGGCAGACTGGGGAAGGAACAGGCAGCATCATGGCAGAAAGGGCAGTAAGTACAAAGCAAAGCAGCAAATTGGGCAGTTAGCACCAGGAAGGAAACAGAACAGCAGATCAGGCAGGGAGCAAAAAGCAGAGCAGTTGATTTGGCAGGGGAAGGGGTTTGGAGTGGGGCTAATTTGTGGCACACCTGCTGAAAAGGTTGGCCCCCACAGGTTTAAGATATCTTTATATTGCATGTGCACTGTTTTATGTCTGTGTATAGCCATTTATACATGATGCTCCATTTTCTGTCTCCAAACCCAAACGTGTGTACATTGATTTTGTGCCTTTCTTTTTCAGCTATTTGTAAAATTTGTGAATTATCCTTTGAAACTGAGCAAGTTCTTTTGCAACATATGAAGGACAATCATAAGCCAGGTGAAATGCCATACGTTTGCCAGGTACTTCAGAGTGTTCAGTTTTGTATTGAGCTGCTCTTTTTCCCTGATTAACATTTTAAAGTCAAGCTAAGGTTTCATTAGGCTAAATTATGCTTCTGTCTCTAGGTGTGCAATTATAGATCCTCAGCTTTTTCAGATGTAGAAACCCATTTTAGAACTGTTCATGAAAACACAAAACATTTGCTGTGTCCATTTTGTCTCAAAGTGATAAAAATTGGAGCTCCATACATGCATCATTATATGAAGCATCAGGTAAGCAGTTATTTTTTGTCCCTTCACATTCTAGAAGTATGGCTAAAAAGCAAAGTGTAATATTAACATGTATCATCCACTCTGAAAATATCTTAGTATTTAGTTGTTTGTATAATTATTGATATAGAGACAATAGCTAAGTTTGAAAATATTACAGGTGAATAAATTAATGAGAAAAAGTTGCTGTCTAAAATTTTGGCCCATTTTCTTTGGAGTGATGTAAATAAACAATTTGTTCCATTGAGAGATCTCCTCTGCATTGACATGTGAGCATTTTTGGTGGGTAACTTCTATTACCAGTGAAAGTAGCTACACAGCTAAACATCATTGCACATCTGTGAAAGAATGCATGCATTATCTCATTACTTGAGTCTATGACAAAACTTCGACTAAATCAAAGGGGAGCAGCTACAGGATCCTTGAGTAGTTATTTTTTACTTGTGATATCTTCAAACTGATAACCCAGATAGTACAGCTTCATAGTACTTATGTACTGTGCTTTACATTTCAAAAGTGTTTTACATTTTCAAAGCACTTTACTTTCTGGTCACTTTCTGGTCTGTTTTACAGTATTTTGGCTTATAGGATTAATAAGGGATTGACTTTCTAATTTTAATAATGGGGTTGTAATTACTCAGGATAAGTTAATATGGGAGTTTCAGTTAATCAAAAGATTCCTGCTTACTATAGATTGTCTTCCATTTTTAAAAGAAAAAAGGAATATACCGTTGTACTAAGTGCAGACTGCAGTTTTTGACATGCAAAGAGAAAATGGATCACAAGACTCAGCATCATCGGACATTTAGAAAACCTAAGCAATTAGAAGGATTGCCTCCCGGAACTAAAGTAAGCTTACTTGATATAAATAGAGGGAAAAGTAGGAAAAATTATCTGGGTAGAGTAATAATTAGGAAAAGAAGAAAGAGAAATTCTCCTTCCCTGCCCATGACAGTGAATATTGTGTCACTGCCATGTCACTTAATACTATCTTCTATCCCTAAAGTTGCTATGAATCTCATGTCTTTCTCCACATATGTAAATTGCAACATACAGAAATAGTAGTCCAACCATCACTTTTCTTTTTTTGGTATGAGGTGTGTCCTACTGCTTTGTCAAACTGCTGGCTCTGCCTTTCTTTTTCTTTCCTGAGGAAAAAACACGGACTCCAGCTTGGTTGGCTGTATAGAATATAGCACCAATAGCAGAGAATCTTCACCTTTTCTTAGTTTGCATGGGGTATGGAGGTGAATGGCAACAACCAAGCAGGGGACAAAAGTTGCTGTTCCTTGGTTAGTTGTACAGTTCTGTGTTTAAAAAGAGAATCCTACCTGCTACATATTTTGAGGGAACCTTGCTGTTGATTGGTATGTATAGCAGCTCTGGTTGACCTTCCTCAAGAAGAAGCAGAATGAGTGAAAACTAGCCGGTTAGATGAGTATTTCCCTGTAGGATTAGCAGTTTTTCTTTTTTAATACCCACTTTTGGCAGGTCTGAAGACCTGTACTCCATGTGAGGAAAACCTATGGAATTGGTGGGTGTTAGCTAGTAGATCTGGGGGAAGTTGATGAATTTGACCATACTGGGTGCATCTACATGAGACGCTGAATGTAGAATTGCTTAATTAGAATCATATGAAGTTAGAGTTGGAAGGGACCTCGGGGTCATATAGCCCAAGCCCCTGCTCAGAGCAGGACCAGCCCCAACTAAATCATCCCAGGCAAAGCTTTGTCTATCCCAGTTCTGAAAACCCCCAAGGATGGAGCTTCCACCACCTCTCTGGGTAACCTGTTCCAGTGTTTTACTACCCTGCTACCCTCCCGGTAAAGCATCACTGTCTACACAAGCAGTGCTATTAGACTGGAGTAAAATAATTAACTCTGCCATAGGATAGTACTACTCAATAGAAGTACTGTTCTATGATGGAGTTATTTATTCTGTCACGATGCATGTATAGACAGTGGCTGGGACATGAGGGTGCTACAATATGGAGCTGTCTGCCACCTAGCCCTGTACTATAGCACCTTCATGCCCCAGCCAGCCCCCCTGCAGCATGTTGATCCAGTCAGGAAGAGCCCCAGGCTGGCAGGCTGACCCCTGGAGCCCCCTGCCAGCTGTGTTTGCACCACCCTGTTTCAACATGTTACATTTCCACATGCACATGTAAATGCTGTGTCCAGGAACAAAAAACTCCAGCGTAGATTGCGCCAGAGTTTGTCTCAAATTAATTTTACATGTAGACATACCCACTGTTTCTCATTTTCAGTCCCTGTAGAACTATACATGTCCCTGTTGAACCATGTTTCTTAAGCTGTGTAATTATTGTACTTCATAGTTTTGCTTAGCAGCTAGGTGCGACTGGTGAACTCAGACTGGTGGGGGGCGGTACAGCGTCCCATGGGAGTGGCTGTAAACCGCCCCTCCCCACCTCCTCTGCTCCTGTGGGATGCTCCACCACCCCACCAGTCTGAGTTCACCAGTGCGCCTGTAGACAACTATATACCCTTTTAATAAACCCTTAGGACAGATTTCAAACTTCAGTGATGATAGCATAAATTATTAAAAAAAAAAAAAAAAAAAGGCATGGCCTGAAGACTCAGTAATAAAAGTTATGCTTAATTTATTTAGAACTTTCTGCTCTGTTACCTTTTTGCTACCCATATTCCTTGTTTGGCAAAAACCAGAAAACTTCCTTAATTAGTAGAAAATTATGTAATTCAGCATCCAGTTCTTGTGAAGCAACATTTTCCTAACAATAGCTATTGTTGTGCTTTGGTGACATAAGCAGATTCTGCAGGATGCATGAAAGACTTGATCCTATGTAAGCTGGAGTTTCAAAACTTTAAAACGGTGTTATTTACTTTAAAACCTTTTTTTAAAGACATTTCCTTTTATTTTATGTTTCTTAGGTTACTATTCGAGCTTCTGTTGGACCTCTTCAGTCTGGATCATCTGCTACATCTTCAGTTAGCACAAGCACTTCCACATTTCAGTTGTCTCCTAAAACTAAAAATACAAACACTAAAAATCATAACAAATCTAATTCAAATAAAACAAAGTCAAAATCAAAACCGTCAACTATACCGAAGAAGCAAAACACATGGACCAACAGTAGCAACACCAGCAAAAAAAAAAATAAAGTTGCAAATACAGCATTGTATAATCTAAGGTAAAAATATTTGACTTAATAATTTTAAAATATATCTTTAATATACTTAAAGCTAATTAAAGATTAGTTGATTAAGATCCATTAAGATTAAAATACATAGGTTTTTGTGATGTTCAGTTGGGACGGAGTAGATTTAGTGAAAACACTAGGTATAGATATGCAACAATTACATCGCTATTAAATGATACTGATACAAGCTGTTAGGGCATAACTGCATGATTCGATAGGGCAGTGGTTTTCAACCTCTGCCCTGCAGACTCCTGCCGATTGTGTCTAACGAGTCTGCAGAAGATTACTGTGATCAGTCAAAAGTATGCAAATACCCATACTTATAATTCAGAGAGATCTTTGCCTCCATTTGAAATTTCCAAAAGGGTCCACACGTCCATTCAAATTTTGTTAGGGGTCCTCAGATGAAAAAAGGTTGAAAACTACTTCTACCAGCATACAAATGCAGCAAAACTATTCCAACTTTTAACTCTGATTCATTTAAGGTGAGAGCTAGGGTGATTTTAACTTACATGGCTACAGGATCTTGCAGAGGTAGCAGGTTTAGCATAACAGCTGCTCCTCATTCCCAAGCAGCAGCAGCTCCCCCACCCTTTTAAAGGCCCCAAAACATACACTTGCCCCTACCCTTTGTATTTTAATATTGTTTTGGTGGCAGTGGTTCTTGGCAATAGAAGAATAGCTGACATGGAAATGACTAGCATTTTACTAAATTTAGATTTTGTGTGTGTGTGTGTTTTGGGGGACATTAAATATTAAAAATGCTAAATATTAATTAGTGACCTGTGAGGGGGAAAAAGATCTGTGTTCAGGTCTTGTCTGTCCAAGAAGGTCTTTGATGACTGGATAACTAACAAATTATTCCAGAAGTGGGGAGTGAAAGCTTAGCAGTTGAGAAGATGGGATGATTAGTCTAAGACTTATTTTTTCATTCTTTGTTGTTTTACTTAATTGAATAATCTTTGGCATAAAGGATTTAAAGATTATGAGCCTCAGCCTTTTAGTTGAAGTGCTAAATCTCATGATGTTCATGTTCTGAGATGCCCAACAAAATCTCTCAGTAGTGAAACTAAGGAAGGGCAAATGATGTACCAGCTCTGGGGGACGACTTGGGAGTGCCAGAATGGCACATCCCCTTCCCCCTGCACACAGAGCCCTCTAGGCTTTGCTTGAACATCCCTGCCCCACCTAGATAGAGGAGCCAATTGTGGGGATACCCAGGTCCTCTAGGACTGCGATCTTCCTCCTGCCCTCACCTGTACCCCATATCTCCACCACTTTCCTCCTCCTCTTCCTTTACTCTCCCCCCATTCGCCCCCCACTGCCCCTCCCCTCAGTGCAGGGGAGTTTTTCCCAAGATATGAAACTCATTAGTTACAATTCTAGAACCCCTGGCAAAATTAGGGACAATCCAATTAGTATTCCTAATTTAAGGCTTAGTGTTTTTTGTTTTTTAAAGTTCATAAGGACTTTGAGGGAGGTATCAAGGGTAGAAGGAAAGCCTCAGGCTTTTTTATGCATAATGAAATGTGGAGAACAAGGAGGAAAGAGAACTTTTTAGAGTTTACCTTGTAGGTAACTTAAATAGGTTTTAAAATCACTACATTCTTATGTAATCAGAGCAAAATATGGGTATATATTTGAGCTAACAAGATTTTCAGTAGACATTAAATGGTTTAAAATATGCTAACACATTTTTATAATTCCTTTTTTGTCTAGACAAGCTGAATATTGGCTTAAAATTAGAATTTTGAGAGAGTATGCATGTCATCTTAATATATTAATGGTAACAGTATTTTTGTGTTTTTTTATTACTGTTTAGGTATCGTTTAGGAGTTCATAAATGCATTGAGTGTTACTCAGAAATAAAAGATTTTGCAAGTCATTTTCCAACTTACGTCCATTGTAGCTTATGCAGATATAATACTAGCTGTAGCAAAGCCTATGTGAATCATATGATGAGGTAAGAGCTCTTCAAAATTTAATAGTCATGATTTCTAAATTTTTCTTAAACATATAAAATGGTGTGTTATGTGTTTGTATGAGTTTTATTTTGTATTTCACATGGAGTTGAAGGAGAGAAAGTGGTATCTCCCTTTAAATTAATATAGTTTCATAGTAGCTAGGGTCAGGAGGGACCTGAACAGATCATCTAGCCTGACCCCCTGCCACAGGCAGGAATGATATCGAATTGATATTAATAGAAGATAGGAAACTAAATCCACTGTTTTGATTCTTCTTTAAAAATGTCAGGTGCATGTTATAATTAGGGTCCTGCGTATTGAGGGGAAGGTCAGGGTGGCCAAGAAAAAGGATGGTCTGATAATTCCCAGCAGTTGAATGGCATCCTAAAAATATTATTGCTTCACTATTTCTGCTGCATTGTCTGTGTAATGTTGGTCAAACTTTAAAGTTGCAAGTAATAATTTCTCATTTTCTGCATTTCTGACATGAGACCCTGAGGTTTTATTTGCAGAAATGTCTAAAACTGATGTCAGTAAGACTTATGTTTTGAAGATAGCACATGCTATATCATGAAGGCAAGACATGGGTATCTCAAATAAGGTCCCCAAAATAAGTGGCTATTTTCCTTACTCCCTTTGTTTCATGTGCCCATCTAGAAAAGTAATACTTATTACAAAAGGCCGTTTAGGGAAGTAAGTTTATTTACTGAAGTTTAAGACAAGGTGTTTTTCCCTCAATCAACATAGGTGAAAAGGCCATTGTTCTACATTTGCATACATAGAAACCACATTATATACATTCCCTATCTTTGGGCCAGTGCAGCAGGCCTGGAGGTACTGCAATACCACACTGGCACCAGGAGTGCCAGAGCCAGCTGTGACAACCTCCACTTTAGTGCCAAAAATCTAATTTATTAGAAAACATTAAAGTTTAAATGACAGAGTTCAAAGCACAGGAAAATACAGAAAGACCCAAGCAGGGTCTACATAGTAGAGGATGGTGGTAGGGGTGGGAATGCAAATAAGTTGCATATGAAACATACACCAACTAAGCCCAAGTGTGGGGGAGGTGGGAAAGGGGAAAGGGAGGGAGGGGCATGACACTTAAAAAGCAGAGTATATAGAAAACCCTGCACAACAGTTTGATCTTAACCAAAAGGCTGAGATGCTGATGGAAACCTACCACAAGAAAAGGTCAGTGCCATCTATCTGAATAAGATGTATGGTGCCCACTGAATACATTCCCCTTTAGTGCTGACTCTTTTTCGGATCATACTGAGCCACTACATTACATACATTCCAACTTCCTCTTCCCTCCCACAGCTGAACTGTGCCTTTCTTTCCCCTTTCTAGTGATTCCTGTTTTTTATCAGCCTTAAATGTCTAGCAAATATCAACAAACAGGGCCCCAAATAGTTCATGGAGAATCCCTCTTTCAGCCCCTCTCTCAGCCTGTTGCACATGATTAGTGTGGCCCCCACCCTCCATGAGATGAAGCCAGACTAGGTTGTCTTGTGCCTCATCTGAATATAAATTTTTGGCGGATCCCAGGACTCATGGCAAGAACACCCAGTTCCAGTCATGAATAGGGGACTAATTAGCACGTGGTTCCTTTGTTGAGGGATATCTGGAGTACACAAACATACTGAGCAGTGCTGAGCTGTGGGGTTACCAGAAATTCAAACACTGTTGTCTCTGCTGGGGCCCAGTCCAGCCCAGCCCAGTGAACTGTATGGTAAATCATGAGCCTTTTGGCTTTGGACTAATATCATGCATAGTTTGTATTATATGCAAGTAGGTGCTAAAGTGCTATTTAAAAGTATGTTTATGGAGTACCTGTGCTACAATTTGCAGCAATTGCTAAAACAAGTAAATTATATGCAGCTGCATATACAACTGCAGCTCCCACCCCTGCTCTCCCCAAGACAAAATGTAGGGTGTTTGTTGTGGGAGACTCTCTCCTGAGGGGGACTGAGGGGGCAATCTGCCGCTCCGACCCCTTAGCCTGGGAAGTCTGCTGCTCCCCGGGGGCCCGCATCCAGGACATTGCGGAGAGGATCCCAGAGCTCCTCAAACCCACAGACCACTATCCCATGCTCCTAATTCATGTGGGCACCAATGACACGGCTCAGAGCGCTCCCAGCCAGGTCATGAGGCGCTACAGGGATTTGGGAGCGGGGCTAAAGGGTCTGGGGGCACAGGTGGTGTTCTCGTCAATCCTCCCAGTCTTGGGCTATGGGCCAAGGAGGGAGAGGAGGATCCATGTGGTCAACCAAAGACTGCGGTGCTGGTGTCGTCGGGAAGGCTTTGGCTTTCATGACCACAGCCCGCTCTTTGGCGAGAGAGGCAGCAAGCTGCTGGCAAGAGATGGCCTCCACCTCTCTCCCCTAGGGAGGAGACTCTTCTCAGCCAGACTGGCTGACCTGCTCCACCGGGCTTTAAACTAAGCCCGCTGGGGGACGGGGGCACTACTGCCACTGCTGGCCCGCTGAGCAATCCTTGCAAAGCCAGCGGGTCAAGGCACTTAAGGGAGCCCACCCCTGCCCGAGCCCTGGCA